TTTTTGAATCATTATAATGTAAATAAATACGAGGGTCCTTATTATTACGTACTAGATCAAAAGGGGGCTAGAATTATGTAATTATCCAACTGCCTCACCAGTACGATTCCTATTGCAATATCCCCAATAAGGAGGGTATCGAGGAAAGGAAAGTGGTTTACTTCCTTAAGTAAAGTAAATTGAAATAAATTTTAAATGCTTATCGAATTTCCAGATATTAATATAGGCAACCTTGTTTTTGTCTTGACCAGTGCCCATTTCTTTAAAGATAGTCTGCTATGAGACATGATTTAACTCCAAACAAGACGTCACTAGCAATTTGCCCAGCTTTGGGTACAGAATGTAAACATCACATTCACGCTTAATAACCATCATGCAGTTGGAATACGCAAAAGAAAGACAGCAAATGTTTTTAAAAAATGACACTTGATATTTTAGTTGTATAAAAGTGTTTTCAACCAGCTAAATAAATAATATAGCATTAATTGTGTCATTATACACAAGGTCCACAATAGTTCTTACTTGACCTTTATTTTCAAGCCATTAGTCATAAATATAAACTTATTTATGACTAATTTATGACTAAGTGTACATAATTTATCTACAGACTTTGTTCATCTTACAAAGATACGGACTTTTAAATTTCTACTTGCAGAGCTCGAGATACATTTTCCTCGATACTAGTTAGAAAAATATTTTAAATGATACAGTCAAACCCAACTGTAACAAACTTCAAGAGATCACAAGTTGGTTTGCTGTATAAGGAAATAAGAACAGTATTTTATTTTCTGTCAAAAAGTATTAACAAAAAATCCTGATATATTTACTTTTAACTTTTACTTAAGGTATGTATGGTTAAAACGAAAGATTTATTAACTTCCTAAATATTTTATGTCAAATGACCTAAAGTACGAAAAACCTCAATTTGGAAGACAGTTCTTGGATAGCATTTATAAACACATACACAAAAAGATAAAAAGTTTTCTTTCTCTAAAAGGTGAATCAACTGTATAATGAGAAACTCACAAGATTCACTACTTTCTCTTTTCCTGAATAGTGAAAATTTAAAATTTTTGATTATCGAATAGATGTTTAAATAGAACTCTCTGTGACTCTGTCAAAAAATTTGAATGGTATAAAAAAACAGCTTACATTTTTTGATTTAATGGCCACATACATTATACACATTGAATGCCATATAGTGTCTTAAGATTTGCATATTTTGCCCCTGTTCTCTTAGACTAAGTATCACACATGTTTTGCATTTCTTTGTTTATTAACACAGAGAAAAGTGGGCTTGAACATAAAAGAAAATGAATGTAAACTTTTTATTTTCTCACAGACAGACATGTAGATAATTTTAAACATGGATGATTTTATGGGTTAGTATTTTTTTCATTAACTCTCTGAGTAGCATGGCTTTTTTTATTTTTAGCTGCTCATGAAGACTTATATTCAAAAAGCTTCTATTAACTAGTTTTTTATTTTCATTATTACTTATATTAGTCTCTGTTTTCATATATTTCCATTCATTGAGCTGATGTTTATATTATTAAAGAAAGTAAAAAAGGAAAATATTTTAAATTATAAGCTAATATATAACAAGTGACAAAATATCTGATGACAGATAAAGTCTCATAACAGTATAAAGACTTTCAGGGTGTTAGCAGAAATTGTGGAAAAAATACAAAATACGAAAAAGTTCCAATCAAAGATATTCCACATATTCGCTTTTTTTACTGTTGGCAGTTAGGTACAGCAGTGTAAAATAAAATAACATTAAGCATACAGGAAACTGGGTGAAACTAAAAGATTCATTCATTACCAATTGAGTTCAACTGTACTCTTATCTTGGAATTTTTAAATAAATAATTTAAAAAAAAAAAAAAAAAAAAAATGCATTTTTTTTAAAAAATGCAAGATTTTATACACAGAATCTTACAAAATTTGTGTTTTAGGTAACATTGGTAGGCAGGTTCTAGAAAACATTAATTGAAGGAATTAAAAATATTTCCAGATTCATGATTCTTTTGCATGATTATTAGATGATGATTCTCAAGTAATAAAACAAGTTAGTTTTTGACAATTTATAAATTCTTTCAGCATAGCCACTGTAACAAAATTATAAATTACAGGCAGTAATAAACCATAACAGAATATCCTTGAATAGCATATAAAGAAAAAAGTCAACCTCAAATTATTCTAGTTATTCACAGCTTAAGTTTCAAATTATTCATAGTTTTTGAGATAAATGCAAAAAGAAAAGAATGATGTCATACTCAGTGCGAGGGGGGGGACTTTATTGGAAGCATGAACATGCATGCATGCATGGTGAACATTCTGAATATCTTCCTATGTAAACATAATGCAAATATCAATATCCATATTTTCAATAAAGATTTCCCCCCCTTCAACTGGATATGATATCATATCTTTCTCGAAACCTATGTACCATACCAGCGCAGGTCTTTTAAACATTTTTTATGTATTCTCAGCGAGCAAGCAGTTTGGTTGTGCACAGTTTGGGTGGTTTTGATCTATAAGAATTCTTAATTCATACCAGACCTTCTGCAATAAAGGTTAACTGGTGTTGTCCGAACTGGGGATCTACCAAATTTCATTAGTTAATCAGTTTTATATTAGATAGCACCACCTATTTTTCAAACCATTTTTTTGTAAAAGCAATATTTATGCTTATTATTTCTTATTTCTTTGACATGCAGTTTTTCTGTAGAATTTGCAAAGAGTTTTTGTTACCAATTTACTCTTTAAAAAAAAAAAAAAAAAAAAAAAAAAAAAAAAAACATGTTTACATTATAGAGAGTTGAAATAAGAAGCAAATGAGCTAACTTATCTTAAGTGGCATCAGTGTTTAATTTATCTCTCTGTTGTTTTTAATACTCTGCTTACAACCCATTGTTTGTAAATTGTACATTGTACATTAAATATAGCAGTACAAGATTGGGTGTATTTTGTCTTACATCTTACTTTTTTCATTCAATATATGCACAGAATTTTTGATATAATCTATATCCATAACATTTAAGAGATCACTTTTAGTTTTATTAATATCAAGTAATTCATTGAAATATTTAAACCAGCTAATCTGAAAAAATATTTCACCCTTTTATTTGTACATTGAAGATTTTCTTATGCACAGCATAAAACACAGCAAAAGAAACAAATATTTTGCAAAAGGTAAAAAATGATTAATATTAAATCATTATAAATCTGATCATTCAAATTTTATTCAAATTTGTATGATCTGTTTTGATCATGCAAATCTGAATAAAATGGTAGAAAGGAAAAAAAAAAAAAAAAAAAAGTGAAAAAATAAAAATTTAGTGGCTCCAAACAACCTATAGATCTGTAAAATATCTACACACTTAAGTAAGGTTGATTGCCTTTTGGAAGAATAGTGATTAACATACTATGAGTACTTTAGTCATACTAAGACTACAAATCGTTTTGAAAAGCTTACCATCATCTTGCTGAGACAAGAAACGCAGGGCAGAAATTTCAGCTAATGTGCAGCCTCCGAGAAAAAACACTAAAGTCACTTTCTGAGAATCTGTGCTTGATTGAATTGATGAACCAGAATCACCTAAGATAAAAATTTTAAATATCATTATCAATTATTTATTTATAATAAAATGACATCACACAAGAAATACCCTAGGGTCCTTTCATAAATAGTGTACATAATTTATCTACAGACTTTGTTCATCTTACAAAGATTACTTGCAGAGCTTGAGATACATTTTATTACAATGTTATTCATAGTATCAGTGGAATACCCAAATCACATTTAAATTTGTTTTCAACATGCCAAGATTGCTAATTTTCATGTAAATGGTGTATATATTTATCAGAGACTTTGTTACTTACAAAGAAAAAAAGCTTGGTTTATGTTTCATTTACAAAGCTTGAAAATCATTGTGTGTAAATGTCTGCAAGTGATATTTCAACTTACATTTAAACATGTTATTTTAACATGCCAAATAGCAAAATACATTTACAAAGAAGCATCGATCGGGGTCTGTACTCGGTGACCCCTTACATGTCAGGCCTCAGCCAATCATCTAAATCAAAATTGCAAAATTTCGAGCTAAATATTTATCAACTGCATGATTCTCTCTACTGCCTAATGTCTCTCTCATAATAACTGCCACTGGTTCAGCTCAAAACTTAGAAAGATTGCCATATGAAATGCCTGTATTGCTTAAAATACCTCCAGGCCTTCTTAAGATGCAGGAGTCTGTATTTGGGTGGGTGACCACTCACGTGACAGGTTCCGGCAAATTAGAAGTCTACACCAATCCTCAAGTTTGCTTACCAACAGATCGAATGGCTTTTCTTTTGTGATTATAAAAGTTTTACAGAAATAATTGCAGAAGATATAAATGTAAAATTTCTATCATTATACATTCCTACTATTACAGTTTTTTTAACCATGCAGTTGATGGTGCCAAGAAATTATTACAAACTTTGTTTTGGCATTTAGTAATGAAATGGTACTGATGGGGGGGGGAATGCAAGTGTTGCCCATCAAAGGAAGTTTAGAAGTTCATATGTGAGTAAATGTTTTTTAAAGCTACTGGCAGCTTTGATGATCTTCCAACAAATGGCAGGTCAGTGGTAAGTTTGTTGCCTCTGTCATGAATCAGACAGAGGACATACAAGTCTTTGTTGCATCAGTTCGGAATATTGATACTTTGAAGATATACAATTGATAATGTGTTGAGTGTGTAGAGACATTAGGTGTTTCTGGAAGCAGGCAAGATGAAAAATTAGTAACGCCTTCACCGGGAATCGAACCGTGGACCTCTCAAATACCGGCCCAGTGTGCAGACCACCACACCATGAAGGCACGCCAAGAAGGTGGGGAGAAATACCTTAAGTGTTTTTTTTTTTTTTCAAGCCGGGTAGCGAAAACGCGAGCTTATTGCGGAGGCCGGCAGTGTCTTACGCGAGCGTCTCTCCAGGAACGGGAGCTTTTTTGCTACTAAGCCTAAAAAGGAAAGGGAAGACAAGGAAGGAGGAAAAATAGAGAATTAAGGGAGTTAAAGATATTTAATAATATATATATATACTTAATACCTATTCTTGTTTAAATGCCTATTTACAATTTTTATTTTAATTCTCACCATTTTATGACTTTAACTTATACATCTGAAAACTAAATATATACTTAAAATCTCTTTCGATGGAAAAATTTGAAACAGGGGATCTCCCACATCCACGTTACATTCTTGCACTTTTTTGTATAAAGCTTTGGTTGGTTGAGGTTTTTTAAGGGAATGTGAAAAAAGCGCATCGTCGTCATTTTATCAGTCTCTTCGGAACAAAGTTTTGGAAATGTCTTCAGTTAACTTTCAGAATCAATTCGAAATTTTTGAATCATTTATGCTATTTATGCTAGGTTAACATTTTGCACTTCGACTTGCACGGTAAAACAGAAGAATTCACGTAACAAGATCTAATTATTTTCTAAACGCTGAACTGCCAACCGAAATACTCAACGCTTAGCGCATATAAAACTCTACTACAATAAACAACACACGTGCGAATAAAGTGTTTGAAAGAGACGTCATAAACACGCATTGGAAACATTAGTTCCCCGTTTTTATATAATCAAAAACAGGTGTATTTGGTCATGCTCTCTCATTTCTAGTAAAAGTCAATGTACATGACCTGAAACCATATGGACATACGTCCATCTTGTGCAGAAATTATAGTTAAAAAAAGTTAAGGCACTGGCACAAATGACGTGACAGTGGTATACGGGAAAGCTCGTCAGCTGGTCGGCTGGGATGAAGTGTGTTCATTGCTGGCACGTAGACGTGACAGTCGGCGTGAAGGGGTTAATCTAATGGCAAACACTTAGCCAATTAGGCTAGGCCACTACTAAGGCCAAAAGTGGTGGCCATTTGTGGAGGCAGCACCATTACCTCCTATGAAGGGACGGACAGTTACAACCATGCTTTCTCGGGAATTTGAACCCGGTCCCTTTGGTATCGCAGTCAGCTCCCCTAACCACTATACCGTTTGGGGGTCTGTTGTGTTGAGTGTTACAGATCATATATTACAGAACATGTAAAAAAAAATAAAATAAATAAATGAAAATAAAAAATAAAATAAATATCAAATGGTTTTGTAAAAATATTTAAAGTTTTATTAGATACATCATGAATCATGCTGTTCATTTAGACAGATTCGTAAAAGAAATAATATTCAAGAACGCTCAGTGCATTTGACAGCTTATTTCTTATAAATAAGATAAATTGAAAAATAATATGTAATTTGCTGAATGGCAACAATTACAAATGAAAAATGAAACAGTGCACAATAGGTATGCAGAATAGCCTTTTTGGAAAAAATCACAGCAGTTTACTTTCAAATTCTGAGTTTTCCCTTTGGGGGAAAAAAAAAAAACTTGAGAAACGGGAGGAGTGTCTGTTCATCTTCAAAATCAACAAAATTTGGTTCAAATCTATGTCAAAATAAGGGTTGCTTAAAATTTCTTTTCCTTTTGGTTATTATTTTCTTACTAACATTTATGAAAAATCTCTTTTAGTTTGGTTGTTTGCCTCTGTGCCTTTTTTTTTTTTTTTTTTTAAAAAAAAAAAGCTCTGCGTCCCCATTTTACAAAGACTAAAAAAAGTCTTGAAGAAGAGAGACCTTCTTATGAGCTCCATTATTCTAAATCTACACCAAAATAAAGTTGCTTTTTTACCTAATTTCAAAGACACTACAGTTACCATTTCCAGTAAACCTAATAGAAATGGTAACTGCAGTTGCATTATAATAGTTTTTCACAACATATTTTTATAATGAGAGACAGACCTTTTGCTCACCCTGTAATAAGTTACTTTTGAAGTTTTTTGTGGACTACTTAAGAGTGATGTAAAAGATTTAAGAGTGCAGAGGCTGAGGGAAATTTCAATTTTGTTCATGTGCTGGTAAGCTAATAAAAACCATGTAAGTGTATAGCATACTCTGAGAAGAAGCACTTAATTTTAGGCTAATAATTAGGAAGCTCAAACAGACAAAGTATAAATTTAGAAATTTTAATTTAACAAATAAAATAAATACAGTCGAAGTTCCTACAACAAACCCAGCTAATAATGAATTCACAGACATAGCGAACAAAGCTTTTGGTCCTGCTGAACTTCCAATATATTTTATGTGATTTTATACTTCCAAGTTATAGCAAACTTTCAAAGGTATCAAAAAGGTGGGCACACATAAAATTCTCCTCTAAGAGGAAAAATGGAACACTCGTTTGCCTCAAAGGGCCTAGGTGCCCAAACCACAGGCAGTGAATTATTAAACTGAACTCTAATTTAGGTCAGGTTAGGTTATTTAATTACGGCAAAGCCTCGAGGGCTATCTGCCCTAAGGGAAGAGATGCCTTTATGGAGGACTTTCTAATGGAAACTTGCTTGTATACACATTACACATGGGGACAATCACGAAAACGCCAATGCGGCCAGCCCGTTCGTGGGATTCGAACCTCGGACCGAAACTACCAGTGTTCAGCGACTTTACCGCTCAGCCATTGGTGGGTGAACTCTAATTTAAATGAACCCATTGTTAAAAATTACTCCCAGGGGGCATGGAGACCACAAAGAATGAGGAACTTATTGAGACTTGCACTTATGGAACCTTAAGTGTTAGTTAGGTTCAGCAATACCCCAATCACCTGCAATACTACAGAGGTGCTGGCCTAGCTTCTACCTTGTACCTGCACTTCACGCCCAAGTGTCACGACCATCTGAGTATAATACTATCTGGAACACCAAGGGTGTTTACAGAAGTATGAAAATAGGACATAATTTAACTGTATGGATGTTTTCAGTTGAACTTCCTCGTATGTATGTTTCAGATTTTTTTACGGAATTTCTGCAAGTTTATAAAAAATTAATAATTCTCAAATTCATCCATATTTAGGATCCAGATCCATTTTCTAGTTATAAAGGATAACTTTATAACTTTAGGTATCTTTTCTTTTATGTTCAACACTACTTTTATCTGTTCCTATCTACTTTTGTTAGTGCTGCATTCCAAACAAAGAATATGGAAAATAGGTGAGCCGCCCAATCTAGGAGAGTGACGGCAAATGAAACAAATCTTAGGACATTGTATGGTATTCTTTGTATATCACAACTATAATTGGTTTAATAGCCTGTGATGACTATTAGACCAAAGAACGTAAGTGGGTTCCTTTCACAAAGTTGTTGGATAGAACCCTATTCAAAGCTGATACTATGATGGAAATTCTGAAATTTTCGTTATTCAAGGAAAGAGGATGCAGTGATCTTATGAGTGTGGATTATATAGCTGATTTGCCTTTTTTTAGAGAATAAAAATTTTTTAATCCTTATCTTTTTTTTTCCAGTATTTTTCTTTCATTCATATTCATAAAAATAAAAAAAAACCCTGGTTATATTATCCTGTTACCCTACTTTTCTCATAAAATAGGATTTATCAAAATAAATTTCTAGTCCCTTAAAATTATTATAGCTTATAAATCTTGCTTTAGTAAAGTAAGATTTAAAAATAATCAGTTCGAAAGCACAACTTACGTCTCTTTCGTAGCCCTAGAGGAATCTTCTGTATTCCTTCAACAGTTGGTCCAGGCAAAATATTTAATACATCTGGTATAGCTCTCCAACCTGGCTGACTCAAAAACTGGACAAGACGAATACTTAGTGGGGCATATCCACTATGCACATAGGATATATCTGATGGAAACTAGAAAAATAATTCTTGTGCATTAACTGTCAACATTTTATATTTCATACTGGGTACTTGTATAGTTATGCAACCACCTTGGCATTTCATCTGTAAAAAATCAGTTTCATTTCGCTTGTTTTATTGGCTTTTTAAAAAAGATTCACAAACTATCTGTATTTATCATAAGCTGGCAAACATTATAAATATATGAAAAGAAAACATTGGTAAAGAATCCGAATTCACTCATTGGTTCTATGAGGAACATCTCCAATAAGCTAGTTAAATTTGTTGCCATTACTTTAACACAGACAATATTTTTTCCAAACCTTTTTTTTTTTTTTTTTTTTTGTACAAAAGATTTGAGATACGGCACTGCTTTCACTTGTTTTCTCTTTACTTTAGCTCTTCAATAAATCATTAATGACTCAGAAATAAATTCTATGGGAAGTATTTTTAACAAATTGGTTTAAGTCTTTGCTTTTTGAGGATGATACTGACATCACTGCTGGAACTCCTAAAGCATTCAAATGGGAATGGGTGTTGAAGCTGCTAAAATGCACAACCAATCAAACCATCAACCAACAAAATCTAAATATATGCCACACACTTATAATTTTTTCTTAGAAACTGATAAATACAGATTAAAAAGTTATTGAGTATTTCACATATCATGGCTCTGTAATTAATTTAGAGAATAATATCTCTTCTGAAATTTGTAACACTGTAAAACTTGCTATCCTATCCTTCTTTGGTTTAAAGAAGTATCTGAGATCAAGCTTTATCAAAAGAACAACTAAACTGACAATTTATAAATGCTTAATCAAACCTGTTTTGATGTACGGAGCTAGAACCTAGACAATTACTGAAAAGGATAAAGAATTACTTGCAGTCTTTGAGAGAAAGATTTTGAAAAGCATCGTTAGAGGTATTCAAGTAGATGGCATCCGGAAAAGATTTTACATCAAAAGTCTGTATACAGTACAAAGTCCGTAATCCAGACATCCATTATCCGGAAAGATATATAATCTGGACCTCAAAGCCACAAACTTACATATGCGCGTAAAGCGTTTACGCATGCGAGTTTAATACATGCGTTTGATGCTAAAGCAAAGTTTAAAGAAATTAAACATTTAGCAGTGGTAGCAATGATAGCTCCCTGAGTTATGTTGTGCAGACATTGAAGACAATAAAAGATTTTGAACTTAACCAATTTATTAACAATATAATAAAAAAAATAAAAACACATAAAATAAATTTCAACAATATTAGAGTATTAGGCAAAACATAACATAATCATCATTCATCAAATATTTTTACCTGTACTCTCCAAAACACTGGCATTCTATACAACAAATTTCAAAAAAAAAAAAAAAAAAAAAAAAAAAAAAAAAAAAATGTTCTAAATAGTGACTATGCCGCCTAAAAATAAAGCAGGCTACCCATTCCATAAGTCCATAATCAATGGTCAAGAAACACCCTGAAAAATTTAAATGTGAAACCACTTAAAACCCGCCCTCCTAACGCCGTTTGCACTTAATTCCACCCTCCTTGAAGAAACATGGACGTTGCCTACGGCAGTCACTCACAGGACAGCCCCCGGAACTGAAGAACTTCAATCTGGAACCATCATCTTGTAAACCGGAATCAAGGCATCCTTTGGAAGGGGCTGGAAACCGCTCACAAACCAGCCGGTAAACCAGGAACTAGAAGGGTGAGCCAGAGCGATGCGAGATACTTATAGCAGAAGTAGGAATGACGTCATCTCACGGCAACCAATCAGCTATCGGCACGAATCGGCTTTTCAGATGACGTAACATTGTTTCGTTTTTGCATCTCAATTAGGTTGAGACAGTCCGTTTTCAATGCAAACAGTGGCAGCAAGAAAAAGAAGTAGAAGTAACTACTATGTTATATTAAAATAAGGACTAAACTAAATAAACATTTCAAGGAGGAGAGATGATGCATTAAAAAATTTAAAAATAAGCTATATTTTCCAACAAATGCCCCCCACATCATCATCTCCGACCTGAAATAAAAACCGAATGCCAGTATCTTTACAAAAATTCAAAACAAGAATAAATAAATATCACAATTTCATTCAGAAATTTTTAAGAACATTTTTCTTTGGGAAAAACTTATCCCATTATTCAAAAAAATTTTACTGTAGCAAGAAAGTCCAACATGTTACAAAACAATACAAAGACATATAGTATGATCATACACTCAATACATTTACCCAGGGCCCTGGTCACTCATACAACATTTTACACTATATACAATTTTTACATTTACCTAATATCCATCATAATATGACTACAACATATATAACATATTTTTCAAATTAAACAAAACTCTTAATTTAAATACACACAAAAACAAATTTCATAGAAAATTGTTCCACAAAATTTTACCAGATTATGCTTAGTCAGTGCGGTTTTGTCATGGGATCAGCCAGATTATCTTTACTTGGGACATATTTTAAATCAAAAATTTCCCTGTTCAATAGATCACGAATGAAAAATAGTTTCACATCTATATGTTTTGTCCTCGAGTTTTCAATGGGTGATTTTGTAAAACATATAGCAGCCATGTTATCAGCAAACAATATTGGCCTCGAAACATAGTTACTTGCAATTTTAAACTGAATGCATTCATCCAAAATGTTTTTAAACCAAACTAATTCTTTTGCTGATTCAGTCATGGAGATAAATTCAGCCTCCATAGTAGATAAACTCACTCCCCTTTCTTTAAACGTACGCCAAGATACAGGTGATTCTCCCAATAAAGTTATTTGTCCACCAATAGACACCATATCATCCCTGCTTGAAGCAAAATCCGAATCTGAATATATATTGAGCTTCAGTTCCTTGCATACCAGTTTAAGTTTGTGCTGTCTGGTATTGGAAACGTACCCTAAAAGTTTAAGTAATCCTTCCCAGTGAAACTTACCAGGATTGCTTTGGAACTGAGAAAATATATTAACAGCATAAGCTATATCCGGACGAGTACGATTGCAAAGAAACGAGAGACATCCCAAAACATTTCTATAAGGATAATTCATCATTTCAGTCATTTCTTCTTGTGTACTGGGACTTTGAGACTTTGAGTATTTCACACCTTTAACTATTGGAAGGGAAGTAATTTGTATTTTAAAAGACTTAAATCGATCAACTATGTCTTCTATATATAATTGCTGATGAATTAAAACACTATTTTTTTCTCATATTCAAATTCCACACCCAGAAGCTTTCTTGTTTTACCTAAAATTTTCAAATCAAAATGTGAACTCAGGACTTTTAATATCCTTTTGGCCTGAACTTCCCTTTTCCCAAACACAACCATATCATCAACATAAACCAACAGAATGACAAAATCTTTAAAACGATAGACACAATTACACCACTCAAACTTGATGAACCCTAGGTTACATAGTGTTCTATCCAACTCGCAGTACCATAATCGGCCACTCTGATGCAAACCATACAAGGCTCTATCTAAACGACACACAAAAGTTTCTTTATCTCGCTCCACAAAACCCTGAGGTTGGGACATGTAAATTTCCTCTGATAAAGGAGCGTAGAGATAGGCACTTTTCACGTCACATTGTATATTTGCCCATCCTAGGTGTGCAACTAAAAGGGAGAAAAAAGAGCCTTATTACTGAAAAGTTGACTACAGGAGAGTAGGTTTCATCATAGGTATCGTATTTAATTTGCCGATAACCCTGAGCCACTAAACGAGCTTTAAAACGAACAATGTTTCCAAATTCGTCACGTTTAATGTTGAAAATCCACCTGCAACCTAGTGGAGTCTTGTCTTTAGGAAGTGGAACAAGATGCCATACCTTATGCTTTCGCATGTTGGCCATTTCCTCTTCCATTGCCTCTATCCATTTAAGCTTTTCTTTTCTGCAGATTTCATTGCCTGGTTATAAGTGTTTGGAATTGAAACCTCTAGTCAGCTATCTCGGGTATATGACGTTGAAGGAGTACCAGTTGGGTCGATTTCACCACTATAAGTATTGCTTCCCTTGAAATCAAACAAGGTAGGATCATACTGAATATTATGTTCAGTGCAATACCTTTCTACATCATTTGGTGATCGTAGTCTTTGATTACACCCCCTCTCAAAATAATACACATCCGTACGAGTGCCGTCTGGCCTTGGAACAGGTTTACGAAGCCAAGTTACTTGTCTCAATGTAGATTGAGTGTCAGTGCCAATTGTAGAAGAAGGTACATTGGTATCGGTTCTTTCCTCTATTTCAGGAAAATAGCCAACTGGAGTATCAGTAGATTGGAACTCTACCCTTTCTTCAGATTCCAAATCAGGAAGGGTGCCCAGTACAGCTCCACTGCCACTTTTCTGCATTCCAATTGACTCTTTAAAAGTAGCATTTAGGGTTTCTACTACTACCTTTTGCTCATTTTCCAACCAAATCTTGTACCCTTTTGTTCGTACACTGTACCCAATCAATCGGCCCTTTCGTTGCCTTTGGATCAAGCTTAGAATTTCTTTTAGCCTTTGGAATTCCCACATAGGCAATCGTTCCAAATGCCTTAAGTGATGACGTACTGATGGTTTTTCCGCTTAGTGTATAATTCGAATGGGGTTCTATCTTGGCCCTTATGACAAATTCTATTAAATGAATATGCAAAATACATTACTGCATCTGACCAAAATTCAGGAACTCATTCCACTATCGTGTAAGATTGCACGTACATTGTTTGAGAGCTGTCTGATTAAATCTCTCACAAACTCCATTTCTGTTCTGGAGTGTAGACATCTGTAAATTCGTGCTTTACACCATTTTTATTACAATATGACCTGAATTGATCATTATCATATTCTCGCCCATTGTCAGTCCTAAAGTATTTCAACTTAAGGTTCAAAGATCTGTCTGCACGTGCTATATGCCTTTCAAATACTTCAAACACCTATACAAAATGTCCTAAATAGTGACTATGCCGCCTAAAAATAAAGCAGGCTACCCATTCCATAAGTCCATAATCAATGGTCAAGAAAACACCTGAAAAATTTAAATGTGAAACCACTTAAAACCGCCCTAACGCCGTTTGCACTTAATTCCACCCTCCTTGAAGAAACATGGACGTTGCCTACGGCAGTCACTCACAGGACAGCCCCCGGAACTGAAGAACTTCAATCTGGAACCATCATCTTGTAAACCGGAATCAAGGCATCCTTTCACCGGACTGCAGGCATCCTTTGGAAGGGGCTGGAAACCGCTCACACACCAGCCGGTAAACCAGGAACTAGAAGGGTGAGCCAGAGCGATGCGAGATACTTATAGCAGAAGTAGGAATGACGTCATCTCACGGCAACCAATCAGCTATCGGCACGAATCGGCTTTTCAGATGACGTAACATTGTTTCGTTTTTGCATCTCAATTAGGTTGAGACAGTCCGTTTTCAATGCAAACAGTGGCAGCAAGAAAAAGAAGTAGAAGTAACTACTATGTTATATTAAAATAAGGACTAAACTAAATAAACATTTCAAGGAGGAGAGATGATGCATTAAAAAATTTAAAAATAAGCTATATTTTCCAACAGCGTTCGCTATGCATGCGCGTAAAGTGTTTACCCATGCGCACTTCCGACAGTGAAGAAAGTGACAGAGAAACAGAATTATTGAAAACGAAAAAATTTTGATTGACAAGTTAGTCGGTATTCTCGACACAGCAATTACAGGAACAGTGGAACTTTGTAACTGAACAAGACATTATGTCCGTTTATAGAATTAAAGAGAAAGCATTAGCACAAAAAATGAAGCAACTTGAACAACTTACATTGAAAGAAATGTTGAATAAGTAAACAAATAAATATTAAGCTTTTTTTTGTGAATTTTGATACCCTTTAAATCATAATTGCTTTTTATTTCATAAATTACAGTTCATATTTTTAATTGTATAATTTCTGCATGCCATCTTACCAGATTTAAATTGATGATCTATAATCCAGAAAAAACCCTAATCCGGAATCGCCGAAGTCCCGGCGAATCTGCATTACAGACTTTGTACTGTACTTGCAGAAATTTTACAGCAGTTGCTGGGAAATGTTACAAGTGTAAACTTTAAAATTCATTTAAGGGGAAAAAATATCCCGATTAATTTATAAAAGCCATTAGAGCTCGGAATACAGGAAAGGGGAAAAAACCCACATACGAAAAGGTGACATTGCTTGATTGAAAGATGTTACTTGAAGACTGATTATGTTTGCCAGAGTTTGGCATATTCCGAAAATTTGGCGACGTCTACTAAGGTGATTGCGATAACATGTGTACCCATGGTGGAACTATAATATATGCTTGAGTATTTATTTATAAAAGCCATTAGAGCTCGGAATACAGGAAAGGGGAAAAAACCCACATACGAAAAGGTGACATTGCTTGATTGAAAGATGTTACTTGAAGACTGATTATGTTTGCCAGAGTTTGGCATATTCCGAAAATTTGGCGACGTCTACTAAGGTGATTGCGATAACATGTGTACCCATGGTGGAACTATAATATATGCTTGAGTATAAGATGATGATTTTTCCTTTCAGTCAAAAAAAAAAATATTTATTTCATATGTGCAACATTATATTAAAAACAAATAGAGATAATTTATGATGTGTAAATTTTAGAGGAAAACATGTATACATAATTGATGCATTTAAAAACAAAATGCAGTTTTAAACATAAGTATAATGATAATTAAATTTGCTTCACATCACTATGACTCTAATTAAAGCAAGACTCCTAAATTAAGAAACTTTCATATGAAAAAAATCTACAAAAACCATTATAAGCATATTATAAATTAAAAAGTATACACTATAATAAAAAGTAAAAAATTAAATAAACAATTTTAAATTATTATATATGTCTCCGAGTCATAGCTTGGCATAATACCACATTGTAGTGGATAACAAATAGTACAAAATTACAAACATTATACTTTTGTACTTCTGCAAAATCCATTATTATTAAGCATTGTATGATAAAAAGAATTAAGTTAAAAAAAGTCCATTTACCTGTTCATTCACATCATCAATTATCAGCCTCAGTGTTTTTCTGATAACAGAATATGTTTTAACACCTTGAGGTTTTAACAATTCAGCCTTTTCTAAATTGTTTAGAGTAAGAGAGTGTTGATAGCCATAAGTCTGAAATAAAATACATTATTATTATAAAAATATCATTGAAAATGATAATATCTGGATCAAACAATAAAACATCTATATTCATTAAGTGACATTTATTAGCTACCTACTATAATTTTAGAGGAAAACATCTAGACAACATTAGGAGTACAAATAAAGACAAAGCACAGCAGATCAAGTTACAAAATATTTAGATTGGCAATAGTGAGGGTAACGGAAGAATATTTGAATAGCCAAATTGTAGTTTCACCCAAGGCTGAACTATTTTTTCTTTTTGCAACACTTTAAAAATTTTATCAAATAGCAGGGATAAATTGACAAACTGGTCAGGAGTCATCAGACTGAGAAAATGGAAAAACACACTTAAACACATCAAATCTTATAATATGAAAGTACAATAGTTAAACTTGGAAGAAAAAGCAGTAATAGATACAAAACATTTAAAACACATCCGGTATGCAGAAAGTGTACCCCAATTAAGATGGAATAGGGCCTAGGCACAGCACTTTTTCAGGGACCTCTGACCATTTTCTTCATTTCCACGAGGAAGAAAGTAGAATTTGTAGGAATTTTGGATTATTTATCAGCCTTATACACAAATGCGGCCTTAGACCCTGGCTTTGTGAGCCAAGGCAATAATCAGGCCCTGTTAACAGAGAAATAATAATTCCAGTTTGCAATAATATGCTACTGTATAAACAGCAGTCACTGGAAGAAAATATAAATTATATCATTAGGAAACACATTATCAGAGATTCCTTTACATGTAGAGATGTAAGGCTTTATTTGAGGTAACCAATTATCTTATTATTTAGGTTTTTATACACTATATTTTTCTTTTTTTGATGAAAAATATGAAATTTTCATTAACTTTCACCAGAATGCAGAGTGTAAATAAGAGTTAGTTTAATAAAAAGTTCATCAGAGAGCATTTGATAGGTTAGCCTGTTTGTTCATTCATCTGTGTTTTCTCATGTTTGCATTAAGAAGCAAAGATCTGCTAGCTGTGGTCCTCTGCAAAAATCACAGAATTTGAATTGAGCAACTGTTCTGCCTGCAAGTTATAATTCATTAATTTCAGTTTGTGTAACCATTAATTAACATGTTAATAAAAAATATTTTGGATTTTATTTTAATTATGATAATTCTAATTAGGAAATCACACACGATAAAAGTTCATTCAACAGTCTTTATGGTTACTTTGATAAGCTAGTACTTTAGATTTAATAGCATAAGCTATGGATATACAGGGTGCATCAGAAAATGTATACACACTTTCAACTGTCATAGAAAATTTATTTTTCTAACCTACAAGGTTAAATTTCTGGAAAATGTAAGTCAAGTAAAAATAGTCCAATATGAAAAATAAGTGTACTTTCTGATTAAACTGAACGTTCCAAATGGTGGCCTTTAGCATCGATACATTTCTGAGTACAAGCCATGATTGATTCCATACTTCGCATGGAAACATGCTTGGAATGTAAACATACTTGAAGTAACTTGTTTAACGAAAGATGCATGGGAAAACGTTACATCAAAATGCATTACTAATTACTTCTGTAAGGTTAGATTGGACATTTCTCAAGAGAAGCAAGAACTTTTATGAATTTTTCATGAACCTGTTTTTAAGAGCACTCGGTTATAATGAGCAAATATCATGTCCCTTCATGCTCATTATAAGAAAGTTCAACTATACATATATCTTTACAGTAATCAATAATGGGTTCCAGTTCATTTGGAAAGTTCTCAACTAATTCTTCAAATACTCCTATAACATCATATGCTGGCACAAAATTCAACATTAACTACATTTTTATAGGTGGATGTATTACCATTATTATATATGGACATGCACATTTTCATTATTTATATAAAGTTTCATCAGATTTAAAAATTTTTTATAATATCTGGCATTAATCTATTGAGTAAAAGCTGTAACTCTTCTTGTGTATTATTAAATGATAATTATTAATATCTTCAGTATCTAGAAAATTTTGCTCTAGCACTTGAATAAAACATAGGATATATATGCTAAATCAATGACTCTTTATAAAACATAGATTTAACATAAACACAGGAACTTTCTTCGAGTACTGCAGATACTTAAGATTTGAATATTTTTCAAAATCTTAGTTTCTGTAATAGTTTAGATATACCTAATTTGTACTGAGAACAGTTCTATATATTTCGATAACTCTAATGCCTATATTATTCTTTGTGATCCAAAATCATTTAAAGAATTCTTATTTCTAACTAGTCGCTGGTGTGGTCAGCCACTTAAACTAGTTATAAAAAAGAATATATATATAATGCTTTTAATGCTTCACTAATGTAATTTCACAGGTACAGCTCATAATTAATAATACGAAACATAAAGAACTGCAGCAACACATTTCCTTTAAATCACCAAGTTTTCTGATTAAATTTGAAACATAAATAGCTTACGGTTTGTAGAGTGTCAACACACTGCATTTTATTGGCAAGTTTGTCAATCAAAAATTCATTGAATTCACAAAAAATATTAACTTAGTAAAAAAAAATTGAAATTAAAATTCTGGCTTTGAGGCACATGGTTGGTACCATTTATGTTCAAAATTTGGTGGTTCAAGCTACTGCCGTTTTCTGAAAATGCGAGGAACATACATAGAGATTCTTCATTACTTAATAACAGACATAACAATATTTATAAATTCATTACTTAATAACAGACATAACAATATTTATAAGAAATAACAACCTGAATTATTTCTCGTTTATAATAATCCAGCTGTTTAGCCTTAAGGCCATTATTAGTCAATGATTGCAAACAGATAAGACGCAATACCTATAAAAATAAACAAAATATATTACAAATTATACACAAAAAAGAAGTAAGTCAATATGAAAAGTAGTCATAAATAAGCAAAATTCAGTATTGTTTGGCAACTGTGTTTGAATTTTATCCAATTGTAGCATAAAAATAATCATTATTGAATATATAATCGCAGAGTTGCCAACTCTAGGCGGGAGACTCCTGATTTTCGACCGCTCTCTCGCCAACCCGATTTACAATATATTTCTCCCAACTTTTTCTTATTCTTAATATTTCTCACGATTTTTATGGAACTTGACTTAATACTTCGTTATATAAACAAAAACAAAAAAAAAAAAAAAAAAAAAAAAAAAAAAAAGTGATTTTGGATGTCTGAAAGCAACTGAATTTTCTCTAGGTTATATCTGAAACAAAACTTTGTGAATCAGATGAGAATTTCTGCTTTGTGAGTGACTGACAGCATACGTATCCAGAAACGTCGTTGTCCAGTTCTCCAATGGGCAACGAGTCATCTGCGTGTAATCTGGCATATATTAGCCAATGAGCACAAAGCAAGCTCAAGGCCGTTGGCCGTTATTTGGATGTTCTTTCGTTATTTCGTTCATTTTTCCTGAGTTGTGTGAGTACACATGCCTTCGGGAAATAGTTTTTAGAAATTATCATCTTTTGTTATGTCTGCAAGAAAGGTGAAATACTGGTGCACGTTTCAAAAATCGTACACAGTTGACTTTCCTTCCATTATTTCCTCAAGGAAATGTAATAAATTTGCGATGTGTACCATCTGTCGTTGCGATTTTTCGATTTTGCATGGTGGAAGGGCAGATGTTCTCAAACATGTGCATACACAAAAAAACAAGGACAACATGAGTTGTTTTGAAGAAAACGAAAAAATTAAATTTTTCTTCGGAAACAAAAGACCAAAAAGTGATTAATGCAGATTGTCAGTTCTCTGCCTTTTTACTGGAGCACAACTTGCCACTGAATGCATCGGATCATGCTGCAGCTTTATTTAGAAAAATGTTTCCCGATAGTGAAATCGTTAAGAAATACTCAAGTGCAAGGACCAAAACAGGTGCAATTGTTAAAGAAATAGGTTTGAAAAATAAATCTTCAGTTATTGATTGCATTAAAACAGCTCCGTTCTGCCTCTTTACGGATGGAAGCAATAATACCAATTCAAAACTGTATCCAATTGTTGTTTCTTTTTTTAATCCAGAGTCTTCAGAAATTGAGTGCAGTTTACTTTCTGTTCCCACTTTAGAAGGACATTCGACAGGCTTTAATATAGCATAGCTAATTATTAAAACTTACTGGCTAACTAATAGCTAATTATTAAACATAGAATTAAAATTACTTAAATAATCATTCATAATAAAATCATATTAAAAATGCAAAATTAAATTGTATTTTAATATTTAACAGCCGTAAATAATGTTTAAAACATTAGATTAAATTTATAGATATTAAAATCCAATTACTTTTAAAATAATGTGATGTCATTCATTACATCATTCACAACATAAAATTCCATAAAATATCATAAACAATAAAATTTTTATTTAAAATAAAAATGCAAAATTAAATTCATTTTTATTATTTAGGAGTCATAAATAATATTTAAAACACGTAATTTATGCATAGTAAAACGCATTATTTTGTAAATAAAATGACAACAAAGTATCGGTTACCATAAATAACTTGTCTAGCAATGGGTTTACCATAAGTCGTATCGCTCACCGTCCCCAAAAAATGGCCAAAATCCGTGCAACCGTCTACCAAAGTAGCACCTTTTTATCATTTTAAGTCTTTTTAACATTGTGAAAAATCTCCTGATTTCTTAAAAAAATCTCCTAATTTTTGAGTGTCATAGGTTGGCAAGTATGAGAATGATTATATTTTGATACATATGTTAATTTGCATTTATGTACATTACATAATTTACACAATTATATGTTAATTTATGTTTTCTAGCAATTGAATCATTAAACTTTTAGAAAATAATTTACTGCATTCTCAATTATCCATGCATAGCAGCTCCCATGTACGCATACTCAAGGCTATGCTTGAGAATACGTAAAAAACAAACACATGCAAGCCCTATCATGTTTTTGCATCTTTGGTTTAGTTTTAATGATTAAACCAATTTGCTCTGCATGTGCTTAGTTGATGGCATTAATTCAGTTGATCACTGGGATTTTTTTGTTTCATGCATATTTTCAACCATAATTTCTTAGTTTTTTAAAAACTTATTTAAATTTTTAGAACTAAAAATGAATAAAGAACATGCTGCAAATACTAAGGCAAGTTGTTTCAACATTAAAATAAAAACTTATAGTAAATGTAAGATTTATGCAAAAATGAATATTGTTTCAGATATCATAACAACAGAGATTGCTACTAAAAATAACAAGCACAGACAGTACATTAGCCCTAAGACAGCAATAGCTTCTGTAGAAATTCGGTTCAACGAAAAAGGATTTGAATTAAAAAAAAAAAAAAACTTTGAAATTTGACAAATATTTAAAATGTTCCCCAAACAAAGTAAAATTCTCCCCCTTTTTTTTTAAATAAACATGTACAATGTCCATGAAAATTAACAGTTTGGATTATCCATGCTTTTCAATTATTCAGACCTGCTTTCCCAGCCTAGATAATCAAGATAATAAAACTTTTGGATGAAAATAAACTGTTTTATTTCTTATCAAATTATTTTCTTTTAGCATCTATATAAAGTTTCAATCAAATAAACTAATTTTCAAATCAGTTATGCCATTCAAAAATCTGCATGGCAAAAATGTGAATTTTATTCCTTAAAATTGCTTGTATTCGACTGCTAAATTGGTTACCAGGCAGTTTATGATTGGGAACAAGAGTACTAAATCACAAAATCAATTTCTTTATGCTTTGAATAAGTGATAATTACTGTTACTGCAATGTAACAGTTCATGCACTGTACATGTGTAACCTTCTACAGAAGGTAATTCACACTTTACAGAAACAATTTTTTATTAAAATTTTCTTATTAGCATTTTGAGATAAATATCTAACATTTTCAATGTTATTGTTTGTTTTGATTGATACTGTTTTTTTAGTGGAATGCAGAATAAATTATTTATATTGGAATTGATACCTAATTCAATGATTGATTTATGCCTCAAAGGTTTTAAAAATGCACTTTCAAAGGAAAAATATTCATATCAAAATGTTGTAAAGCAGTGGAAAAATTGAGGTTATTGCATTTAAAAAAGTATTTTTAATATATTAAATTTGAAAAGGTAAAAAGCATGTAGCTGGAAAAAATTACCACAGAACCACATCCTAAGACTGTTCAAATGCCGGTAAATATCGAGAAAATGAAATTTCTGATCCTGAAAGAACATCTACTACTTCAGGATCCATTGCTTCGGGACTGATGATACAGGACAATGTGCTGTGGCAAAAGCAGATGATGCTTAATCATCATCTGCTTTACATGAAAAACACCCAACTGCAGATAAATGAAAACTCATGATAATGTTCAACAAGGTATGGGTATATTTAAGTGACTGTAATACAAGGAGATAAATTTTCTAATGCTCAACTGACAAAATGGCTTCTAAATATACAGAGAAGTTCCTAGCATGACAGTTGCAGGATTTTGTTAAAACAATAAATTAATAATAATAAAAAAATAAAAATAAAAAAAAAAAAAAACTCAGATAAGGGTGAAATTAATTCACTGTACTACTAACAGAATATTTGAGAACCAATTTTTTGGGGAAAAAAAATCCAACTATCAAAAATAGAATTGTTTTACTTTGGGTTCACAGAAAGAAATTCACATTTTCTGAAGTTACAGACTTGAAATTTTGAGATTTTTTTCTTTGCACACTTCAACAAAAAACATCTTTTTAACCATGAGCCAAATTATATGGAATCTACTATGCATATAATTTTTTTTTTCATTTGTAATAATCATGTAAAATTTAATGTATTCAAGTTCCAAAAATACTCAAACATTCCTCAATTTCATTTATGTGACATGATAGTTTATAGTAATTACTAGTTGCTAAGTATCAATGATTTTTGGCATCACAGGAGATTTTGGTTGACTTTTGAAAATTAAATATGTGATGCAATATATCTGCAAATGAATTTTAAATTATTTGTAATTTTTGCTTAAGATTAACATTAATGGTCAAATTCATTTAATCAACATATTACTGTTCAAAAGTTATGAGAAATAACAGCTTAAAAATCCACTTGACTTATCACTCTTTTATTAATTCAAATTGATTCCAGCAACAGAATTTTATAACATTTATCATTCCTTAGCAGTAAATATTTATAACAAAGTTCAAATTAAATACCAGTTAACTAAACTATGTCCAAATTAATTAGACAAACTGTGTTTAATGATGCTATTTCTGATACTACTGATTAAAAAAATTTAGTACTAGTCCTCTTACAATTTAGGTTAATAATCCAACATTTAGAAATATTCATTATGAATACTGACGAAAAATAAAAATGTTTTATGGATTGTAAAAAATATAATAAGAGTATCATGTAATTATTTTTAATAGGTTGCTTTGCCTAAAAATGAAATTTCTTAACATTACTTAATGTGTTTATTTAAAATTGGAAATAATTGTGGTTGCAATAATAAGTACATTTTTTGTTTCCATATTTCCTTTGTTAAAAGTAATCAGAGACATAAAATACTTACAGGTAAAAAGAAACTAAGAATACTATACAACATTTTATACCTATAATTTAAAAATAATATTCTAACTCTTCATTACTTAATTTTATGAAATCCATATATCTCTTTTATTTTAAAGCTGTAATTTTTCTTTAATGCCCTAATGAGTTTAAAACACCCATGTATGAATTTTTTCAATCAAACACTTCAATATTTAATATTCTGAGTAGCATGAACACTTCGTTTAATGATTCATGAATGAGTCAGTTGATTTGTTGTCACTTTATATAATTATCTCATTACTTAAAATATTTAGTTTAAAATTTCTCTTTAATACTTTTGATATGTTAATGAACAAAAATAAAGAATTCAGTTATACAAATATAATAAGCTCATTATTTTTTAGCTCATCAATGTTGAACTACAAATAAATGCTACATCTTCATTAGCAAATTAAAAAGAGAGGAAGAAATTTGTAAGAGTTTAGCTTTCAACAGTCATCCAAAAAAGCTCTTTGAAAGTTTAATATGGTTTATGATTAGTGTTTTATCAAGAGAGATGGTCCAAATACATTATAAATGCCTATTCATCTAGAAGTTTAATTAAAATTTAATTCAGAATTTTAAATGAAATGTTACCTTTATCAAAGGCTCTTGTTTAGCAATACAGTCTTCAATATGGGAATTTATTTTGTCAGTTTCTAAGCCATTCATAAATTCTGCATAAAATCATTGAGTTGTTATTCACAGCTGAATTTTACATTTCAAATTGAACTATGAAGAAAACAAAATGCACGGTAAAAAAAAAAAAAAAAAAGCAATTACCTTGTTCAGTTTGTAATAAGTTAACAAAATTTTCTGAATCTGTCACTTCTTTAACAAGTTCAGCCATTGAAGTATCTGTAAAAAAACAAATTAAAAAAATGTAAAAACATAGGAATCCAACAAAACAAACTTAAAAAAATGTAAAAAAGTTAAGTAAATAAATAAATAAATCATACGATTAGCTAAAGACTTCTTAGCAGCCTGCAAATGGGGCAATTTGTCAACAAATTGTTTTATTGCATCGACAGTTTTAGCTCCATGTCTTTCCTAAAGGAAAAATATTTCAGTTTTCTAGTTTAATATTACGAGATTATGCAATCAATATAAATACTAAAAGATGATAATGATCTACCATTGAACCAGGTTATAATGAATTTCAATGGACTCAAAGTTTGGTTTGTCATATCTGATCAGATCAGAAAAGTAGATTACCTCAAAAATAATACCAATAAAAAAAGGATAAAAACATTGTTTTTATATTTGTTTGAAAACAAATAAAAATATTACTGAATTTATCTTTACTTAAGATGTGCAAAGAGAAGATTCAATAAGCTTTGTATTTGTATGCCTTTGAAAAGGCCTTACAAAATGCATTTGCAAAATTTGTATGCCTTACAAAATGCACAACAGTTCACAAGACAGAACCTGGCTACCATTTATATTCATACAAAATATCAGAAATTGTTCAGATTTTAACCCATTAATGACCACATTAGCTTTCATTTGAAGGAAATGAACAAGGATTATTTTTTGACATATTAGGTGTAATTAAGAGAAAAAAAAAATTAAAAATATATTTATTATTTTATTATTATTTATTTTGAAGTTATAAAATGTTGTGAAAAGGCACAGCCAAAACTGCTTACTTTTGGGATACATGAAAATCTTTGAAACATTTGCTATGCAAAGGGACATAACAGTTATTACAAACAAGTATCATTAGACTACCACAGTATTTGCATCTTTTAGTTTTATTAGTTGAATTATTTTAGATAAAGTAATTTGTGAGATCCTTTCTTGTTTCCTTTGAGGCTAAATTCTGAGAGAAAGATAGTCAGCCAATACAATCAGTATATGAAGATGAAAGCTGCTCATTTTCAGAATATTCTTCCCTGAATTTAGCAATCACAGTGCAACACTTCTTTAAAAACCTAACAGAGAAATTATGAGGTTTACCGCAGTGTTCAAAATTTCCATGCACTTAATTTAGCTACATAAATAAAATTGGTAAAAATAGGTTACTGCCATTTTTCACTTTTTACTTACACTCTATATACATTGTAATAAGATTGTCCAAAAGGGCACACCATCTATATATTTGCTATAATTTCCGACGAGTTTAGGTTACTTTATGGATACAGATTTATTCTCTTGAGTTCCTTTCGGTCACTGAAAGTGGATAAATTGTCTGATAGTTAGTTGTCATACCAGTGACAAATTGCCATTCCATCGAATTATTGCGATGTCATGCTCTTTATCAAATGCAGCGTCATATGTTCATATCATATGTTCCATGTTCTTCTTTTTCCATTTTGTTTACATGAATAATAGAACCATTTCCTAATTTGCACTCAAGAGCTGCACCAGCCACATGAAATTTCAACTCCTTCAATTCAGACATCAATATGTGTGGCGTAAAAAATTTGTCGAAATATATGTAACAATTTGAAGAAACTTTCACTACACTTATTACAACATCTTCACAAAATCTAAGATCACTCAATATCTTTTTCAGAAGAATATTTGTAAAATTTTTTATCAGAAGATTTTCATGAATATATATCAAAATGATATACAGTGAAAAATGTTTAACACGAAAACATTTAAGACAAAATATCAATTAACATGAAATAATATAATGGTCCCGGCAAACTACTATGTATTAATTTAGAAGCCAAACAACAAAAATCAGCGTTATACAGTCAAAAGTCTTTAATCTGGACTCGTTGAGACTTCAACGATCCCGGATTATCGATTTTTCCGGATTATAGATCATCAGTTTAAATCTGGTAAGATGGCATGCAGAAATTATAAAATTAAAAATATGAAACCGTAATTTATAAAATAATGAGCAATTATGATCTAAAGGGTATCAAAATTTACAAAAAAAGAAGCTTAATATTTATTTGTTTACTTTATTAAACATTTCTTCCAGCGCGCGCATGCGTAAAGCATACATTAAGCATAGCCTAAATTAGAAAATTGCAACCAGAAAACTATTTGATTTGTATTCGTGATATTTATAATGACGAGGAATTTGATTTAAATCATATCAAAGATGGAGTACATCGAGGTAAAATACTACATTTAGTAAGGAATTATAAGCCGAATAAAATAAAAACATCTGCCCTGAAGATAATGATAGTGCTGACAGATCAACTTCCAGTTCACTGCGCGCCGCGACATTCCACCCCCCTCCCGCGCAGAGCAGCGTGAAATTGATAAACAGATTTCGGAACGGTTAGATAAACAAAGGATATGTCTTTATCCATTTTTTGTAGCAATTCCACTTTTTGTTTGATGGACATCGAAACATACTTTCGTTTTGTAGATGCTTTGGGAGCTCCAGCATCGGAAATTCTATTTGACATAATCGAATGTTCAAGCTTACTTTTATAAAATTGCTCTTACAGTCTGCAAAAAATAATAAGCCGGATCCAATTCGAAGATTAAGGAACAACGCAATCGTCAACATTAACTGAAATAGATAATTAGATAATTTTAGCTTATACCGTCCGTTATACATTAAACGTGAACGAGAAAACGTATTCTGCGCTTGCGCAGACGCATATGCGCAGTCGTCAAGGTCTTGCACGCACGCGTAAACGCATGCGTCAACGCGGCGCATGCGCAGAAAGATTTTAGCTTTGAGGTCTGGATTATAGATCATTCCGGATTATGGGTGTCCGAATTAACGACTTTTGACTGTATTTTCAAATTTGCACAGCAATAAAATGCTGATTTTTTTTGTTTGACTTCTAAATTAATATCTGTTCGGCGTGTTATTATATCTTAAACTGCTATGTAGTTTCATGCATTTTGTTTCTCTTAACACGAAACAAAAATCTCTTAACACGAAAAGATATCCTTTCTAAGGACGAAGAAAATACGAAAAACACTGGATTTGTAGGCGAGATTTAGGAGGGGTGTGACATGAAAGAGAGATGGTTTCACATGTTTCATAGAAAGGAGGCTAACTTGGCTTTGAAATAACCTCGGAATAGCCTGCGACAAGAGCCAGTTTTGGAAATCTAAGCTACTTTCATCTTTCTCCTCTACAAATGCCACACAAACATCTCATCTCTCCCCAGTTGATTTTGGAATTCGATGATGAGTACATCGCAGTGCGAGTAAAAATCAGTGCGTTTGGTTCATATGTTGCACTGTGCATGCCTCTGTCTTTTCATATCTTGCACTCTGCATGGAATTCAGTTACTCCAAGCATGAATAATTTTTTTTTCATCATGCACGATTCTGAAATGTATCAGATTCTTTGACGCCAAAAGAAATGGAGAAGAAGGATATTGAAACTAAGCTGACACTTTATAAAATGTTTGAGAAAGTTTCTGTATTAATGGACTGTCCTACTGTATCATCAGAAGAATTCGTTGCAGTAGGTGATGATAATGTGTGTACAGCCCCAATTATGGCAGAAAAAGACATTTTGGAGTTTGTTCAAAGCTAAAAAAAATATCATTCATGCAGATTCCAATGACAAAAATTAAATGAATAATGCAGCTCCTGTTCCCATGTCATCCGTACTGAGGAACCTCTTAAAACACATGCGCAGTTAAATTTACACGCACATTGCAATGATGAAATGAAGAACGAAAAGGACGACATTGAACAATTTGATGCTAAACAGGCAGTGCAAAGAAAAATATCAGATTATTTTCCCAAAACTCAATAAATGTTGTGTTTTTCAAAAAACTTGAAAGTTTAGAATTGAATTAAATTTAAGTTCTTGTGGATGTTTCTGTTTCATTGATTTTTATTAAATACATACCTATATGCATATCTGTGTAAATAAAATGTACTCTAATAAACTTAATTTTATTGAATACATGTTTTTTTTTTTTTTTTTTTCAATATCCCTTAACATGAAAAAATATTTCAGTCCCCTCAGTTTCGTGTTAAACAATTTTCACTGTAATTACTTTTCATAGGAACACAAAACATCAAAATTTGTACTCAAATGTTGAGAAATATTTTGTATGAATGTCTACCAAAATAAGGTATCATTTGTTCATCTATAGAAAGATGAGTTGAAAAACTTACATCACTTACAAAGAATGCCGTAAGGATCCCTAAGATTTGTTTAACCTTCCAGCACGCACGTATGCGCAAAATTTACGACAAATTCAGTTTTTAATGCACATTTTTCGCACATAGAAGCTGAGACGTCTGAATGTCATTTCTATTCCTCCTTTCTACCCTTCCCCACATCATGGAATGTGCCAACAGGAAGTCATTTGACTTTTTTTTTTACTGGGCATTTGTACTACGTGGCAGCTTTTTCGTAAAAGTTACGAGGCGCGAGTGTTCGAGGCTGAAAACTCGGAAAATATTTTTTTCCTCAAATGTTTTGTAATTTTGTGTTATTAATTACCGTGTATTATTTTAATTTGAATACGTTTGGCTCTGTAAATTTTATATCAGTTTTCATGGCAAAAAATATGTGCAACCAGCTGATTTTACTCGCATTCTTCAAGAATTATTTCACGAAGAAAAGGAAAACAAGGAAACCTTTGGATGGGAGAACAATAGCTATTTCCATTCCTTATTTTCTTTTTTTTTCTTTTTATAGAAATAAATAAAAATATTAAAGTTAGTTTAAAGTGTGTTTTTGTAATCAGTTAGAAGCAAATTTCCTTGCAGAAGTAAGTAATAATAAACTTACTTTTTTCCCACCAAGGTGTTTTCCTTTTTTATTTGTCTATACTTGCCTTTGATGAATATTAAAATTAGCTTTGATTTTAAAATATAATTATTAAACAATAAATTTAAAATGTTCTATATTGAATTACATCATTGCATTTCCATCTCACTAATATAAGAACTTAAAAATAATTTACTTATATTTGAATGTGATATAATTTGTGCAATAATAACATTAATATTTTATTTCTTAACAGATTTATTATCAATATTCACTCATTTCTGTTGTTTCTTGTGCCAAAAACTGTAAAAGAATGGATGTCGTAAAAAATACTATGCGCACGTGCTCATGGAAAATTGCCAAGCGCATGTGCTGGAAGGTTAATGTGTACTCATTTTCCTAGATTGAGTGTCACCCATCTTTCACATAGTCTTTGTTTAGAAAAGAGAGAAAAGTGGACACAAAAGAAAAGCAATATAAAGGTGCTTTCCTTTACAGAAGGAATACGGATCCTAACAATCTGAACATGGAATACTTCAAGGTTGGTTGGTTTATTTGATTATTGCAAAACCTCAAGGGCTATCTGCTTAAGTTAAGAGATGCTTTCATAAAGGACTTCCTATGGGAAACTGACTTGTGTGTCATGCTACACTTGGGAAAAACCACGAAAATACCCATGCAACCAGCTTGTTCCCCAGAATTTGTAGCCCAGTCTGAACTACCAGTATTCAGTGACTTTACTGCTCGCTCACTGGTGGGCTGGAATATTTCAAGTTTTTTTTTTTTTTTTTTTTTTTTTTTTTTTTTTTTTTGTTTTGTTTAAAACTTGATGAAATTCTAGAAAAAATACAAAAATGTTTTCATCTAAGATATCTAGGCTCCACTGACATTGTAGCCAAATTTTAGCTTAGTTTAGTTAGTCTCAGCATAGCATTCGTTTGAAACAGTCTTGGCAGTAAATATAGTAACTAAAAAGTGTTTGTGCTCTAAAAATATGGAGGAAGATTAGATCAGCTCGAGTTTCATGGAAATTTCTTTGATCTATTCATACATTTTGTATAAACTAGAAAAGATCAAAAGAAGGGGAAAAGCCACTGAGCCATCTGTGATTTCTGAAAACATTTGTCGAACAACTGAGAAGATAACATCGCCAGCAACGACAGCAAGCGTCTACGTCACATTCCGATGAAATCTGACTAAACAGGAAGCTTCATGTAATACTAAAATGGCCAAAAAGAGACTGCAAGGCTTGTTCTGGCCGTAACATGCCTGAAGGTAGGCGGAAAAAATCATATTACTGTAATACATGTCCTGACAAACCTAGGATCCATCTTGGATATTGTTTTACAAAATATCACACCAAAATTAATTACAGAGTGTAATATTTATCATTTTATTGTTTCTGGAGTTATTAATGAATAAACTGGTGAAATTTTATTATTTTATTTGTTTGTTTATAAATGTTTTTAAAGTACTTGTTAAGTGTTTGCCGAATTCGGCCGAAATCATCTCGAGTTGCAGGTTCGTGCAAGCGAAAAAGGCCTTGAGTGCAAAGGGTTAAGTTTTAAGTTAATTTTTTACATTTTTGTGTTGTATCTTGCATCCACAATAAGGATAATGAAAAGCAGAATATTTACCTTATTATGAAGAAGTAACTTCTAAAGGTGAGCTGTTAGTGACAAATAATCAAATTACGTACCCTTTGTCTTAATAGATTTACATGGCTAATTTTTTCCCCCTATGAAACCTTTATGTTTTGTAGCAATAACAAACAAAAAATATTTATGCTCTTTTTAATTTGAAAATTCCCCAAAAATTTTAGCTCATTTAAATCAGTTTCTTTCTCTTTAGCCTCTTTTCTAAGTTTATCAGTTTCAATAAACAAATTAATGTTCCCACTAGTCTCTCCTTCATCTGCTAATTTGTTAATGTTTCGACAATGTACCTTTGACAAAGAATTTTCTCTCTCTATGAAGTTGATTTCTTTTTCAATGAATGTTCTCTTCATTTTAAAATTTCCAAATTTAATTAAAGACTTCTGTCATTCTTAAGAACTGCTAGTACTTAGAATGTATAAAAGAATAGTTATTTCTTTAATAATAATAATATGAGTATTGAGAGTAAATATAAAATGATATAACATCAATACTGGCACCAGAGCTGGAGAATTTTTAGAATTTAGTGAAGCATCAAGCAAGAAAATTTAGGGCAAAATTATTATAATTTTCGGCAGGCACTGAGATATGAATGACATATTGAGATGCATATGATGAAAGAATTTTTAAAAAATCATTGGCTTTCAATTACTTTGCTTTCTTTGATTGCCTCAATGGAAAGACAGATAACAAAGGGCCTTATGCCTAAAACTTGAGTATCTACCATTTATGTTAAGAAGGAAAGAATTCAAATATAAAATCTATCAAATACATATTTTTCAATGCATCACCAAAAACATTCCTCCAAAATGTTCATTCAGACCCAAAATGGCAGTCATAAAAAACATACAGAAATGTCAGATGGGATAATTTAAGGACCTTTTGCCGGTTTTGGCAAAAATTAAGGACTTTGAAGGAGAAAAATTGCTTTAAAAAAACCTTTTAAGGACCGTACAAGCCATGTATATTAACATGTCTAGCAAAATGTTAATAATAATTATTCTATTTACATAAGTAGAATATTAATAGTAATAAAAGTAAATAAGTAAAATGCTAGTAGAAGTGCTAATAATTTTACTTACATCATACTGTGCAGATAGCACTTTTGCTTTTTTGCTAAGTGTTGGACCAACAGCATTGAAATTTTTGTCTCTAAGTTCAGCAAATAATTCTTCAGCTGAGTTTAAAAGAAAGCGCTTTGGTTCAGTTGGTATTTCTTGTAAACCTCCTTCGCTTGGCTTGCAAAATTTTTCAGGTGGTAATTCTATAGTATCTATCAAAAAGCATGTTTTTAATTATAGTACAAATACAATAGACGATCAGAAATACACAATGCTTAGGCCACAGGCTGTGTGGCTTTTAGAACAAAAAGGATAAATCATAATATTTAAACTAAAAGTACAAAGTAAAATAAGGACATATACAATAAACAACACATTCACATAAAGGCATATCAAAATAAGATGCACTAATAAAGCATAAAGTATTTCATTTTTTTAAACATGTTTCAATACAGGTTTGTTTTAAAACTTTACAGTTGTTCCAGAGTAATTTTTTTTTTGCTAAATTATATTTCATAATCTCTTGCTGTATGACACAACTTTGCTATTCTAAACATTTTAGGTATTTTTTACAATGTTTCAAACACTCATTAAAAGATATTTTCTCATGCCTATCAAATTCACCATCTGTGTTGGTGTCAGAAATCCTTTTTTTGCCATGTCGAGTTCAAAACAAAATCAATAATTTCATCATCGGTCATCTGATATGCCAGTGTTGGCTCATCCATTCAGTGATATCTTCTTGCAAAACCTCCTCATTTGTTCTTTATTTTAAATACAGAAGCAATTCTTTTGCTTTAACCTTTCCAGCTATAACCCTAACTCTATCATTGCTCCCAGTTTCAATAAACATCGAGGACAGCCGTACATTATGACAGCCATTTACTAATGTTGTTTGGAAAACAGAATTCCATGTTTCTGCTAACAAAAAGATGCACTCTTTGGTGGTGAAATATTTTTTTACAATCACAAAGTGAAATAAAATATCTCTATTGAGTGAAGTCGTCTGTTTCTTTACCTCCATGCAGATTGGAAGGGTGTGGAACCTTTAGCAAGATATCAATGATTTGGTAAGTATTTCTCTTTGCTTCAGTATTTCATTCTCTACGTTGCAGTTTTGAACCTATAAATTAAATGTTTAGATTTTGAGAGGCTGCACAGATTTCTAGAGTTGGTGATTTCAGGTCAGCAGATTTTTGGTGTTTGACTGCAACTGCTTTCATATAATACGACTATTGTATAGCATCAATAATTGAATTATATGAAACTTACTTTTTATTGAAGATTACAACTTCTGACTAAACAGACCTAAGCATTTGAAAATTTATTATGACTGTGGTCATAACAAATTAACAACATTAGCAAATTTTGCATTTCATAGTACTGATAAATATAATTACAAATAACACCACAGCAATATGCGTTTTAATAAAATGTACATGATGATTAAAAATGCCTAACAAATTAACAAAGTGATAATTCACGCATACAAAACTTAAGATACCGAAAGACAATGCTAAAAAATATAAATATATTACTTATTTATCCAATTTCTTACAAAATATTCCAGAATTATAGAAATTAAAGAAAAGCTTCAAACAAAAAGATTATTTCAATACACAGATTTATACATAACTGAATTATGAATATTATAGAACAAAACAGATGCAAGATAAAATATTAAAATCACAGCACAAGAAATCAACACATATGAATCGTGAAACCAACTTACTATTATTAATTCCAAAAAATTCATCTAACAGACCTTCATATGTTAATTGCGTAGCAAGAACAGAAAACAAATCGACAGAACGATCCAAAAGCAGCAAACAATCTATTTGTGGAGTAACTTGAGGATCATTGCCTGATAGCTCTTTTCTTATTCGAGTCATTAGATCAAAAACATGCTGAGGAAGAAAAATAAATAAATAAATAAAAATTACCTTGCCAAAGGGAAAGGTGAAATAAGATATTCTTATTTTCGTTAGCATATTAAGATGTGAGAAATATCATATTAAACCCCCGAATGGGCTCAATGTTTTCACATCACGATTTCTTCGCCATTTGATATATAGCACATTATTATTTAAAATATTATATAAAATAAATACATTATTATTTTAAAAAAATATAATTTTTTTTGTTTTTTTTTAATTTTTTTTCATAATCTAAATACTATCTTTGTCAGCCTAATAATAAACAACTTACATGAATTGTGGTAAATAACCCTTTCCCTCCCCCCCGAAATTATTGCCCTTTTCTCTGCATAAAAACTATTACCAACCAACAAAATAAATATAATTAACTTCTATTTCAATGATGAAATAATTATAAATACATTTTACATTCAGTATACAAAAAATAAGCTTAACAGCTTGTTTTAGTTTTGAAATTAAAATATAATAGAAAATGTGAATAAGAATATGACTACTTGCAATACTTTTTCCAACATAAGAACTTTAAAATTTATGATACAAGGCCTATGAAAACAGAGACTAATATAATGAATTATTTAAAATTAGCAACTAAATGCTGTTTAAATACATTTTTTTTTCATGTTCCAAAACAGCAAAATAATATTCAGAGCAAATAACAGAATAGGACTTTCCTATGGACTAATTTCAATTTCTTAATTAATAACAAAGTACTATGGACATTCATCATGAACAGAGAGAATAACAGTGATTCTTTTTATCTGAAACCTATTTCATTTCTTTTAAAATGATGTAAATATGGACTTTTGAAAAATCTAGTTGTAGTTCTCTGAATTCAAACATGTGGCTCTTATTGACATGAAGTTTGCCCATCCCATTTTCAATCCATTTGGTGTAAATAAAATGATCAAACTAAAAGTCAGTCACATTATAACTCCTTACCTTGTTCACTAGTATATGCGGTACAAATATACTTATTAATATTAATAGAAAATAATCTCCAACCACAACGTGACACGTATAAAATATTTTAACATCTGCACCACTTTTGTTCATTTTTTTTTTTCCATAAAATTAGACAGAGAGAAAATTTTCTGTTCAACTTCCCTATATGATACATTGAAGTTTTACAAAAAACCTAATAAAATATTCATAAGGAACATGATAAACTACTATTACTAAAATTTGTATGGTGATTTTTAAAAGAATTTTTTTGAAAGATATAGTCATATTTTATTTTATAATATGGTGTATTTTAAACGATTCTTTTGCTCCACATTTTCATTCTTTATTTTTTGGTGGATTGGTTATACACAACACACTGGTTCAGCAGCTGACAGTTAAGGGAATCTGAAGGTTAAAAGTGTGATAAATAATCGAGTTTCCTCTGTAAGCATACACTCTATGCAACTTATTTATTTATTCACTTTTACAAGTTTAGAAAAAGCACTGAAAGAAATCGTTAAAAATATTAAAGGAATAAAATCAAATCAGCTAAACAGAGTAAATTAATTCAAAATATTTACCTTAGCACACTTTCCTTTTCCATATACATTAGGAATGATACCATATACAGCTTGAATAGTCATTAATGCTTTAGCAACATGATGCATACTTGTCATATCATTATCAATAAAACATTCCTGAAAAACACTTATATTTCAGGTAGAGGCAAATAGACAGAAACAAGAAAGTTAATCAAACTAATCTAAAAATAACCAGACTATTTTATAATTCTCATGGAATTCAAAACAACAGTAAAAAAAGGGGAAAAGCACTAAGCATAATCTTAATATTAATTTCCATAATTAGTGAACTATACCAATTAATTTATATAATTTGCAAAAAAATTATACATGAATTTGTATTTTACATGTTTTTTTCAATGAAAAATAGAATGCATAACATGATATAGATCATTCCATTCTTAAGTTTTGTTACTTTGTCAGCCTAATAATATAACAACTTACATGAATTGTGGTAAATAACCCTTTCCCTCCCCCCCGAAATTATTGCCCTTTTCTCTGCATAAAAACTATTACCAACCAACAAAATAAATATAATTAACTTCTATTTCAATGATGAAATAATTATAAATACATTTTATATTCAGTATACAAAAAATAAGCTTAACAGCTTGTTTTAGTTTTGAAATTAAAATATAATAGAAAATGTGAATAAGAATATGACTACTTGCAATACTTTTTCCAACATAAGAACTTTAAAATTTTGATAATACACCAATTTTGAAAGGCAAAGAGAAAAGTTATAAAAGACCTATTTTGGTGTTTTCTTTAAGGGAGGGAGGTATTTCATAATCTCAGGGAAGAAAGCAGTCAACCTTTTATTTACCTGTTTAGTATTTAGTTTCAGTTTATGAATTAAAAAAAAAACTGCTTTTTTATTCAAATTTTTATATTTATCAAGATTTTATATAATTTTCTTGCTTAATTTATGAAACATATTAAAAATAATCTAAATTTAAGTAAATGTAATTGCATATTTTGAGTTCTGGAAAGGAGGGGGAGACTGATTGTCTAGCAGTAGTGAATGGGGTACATGGGCTAAAAAAATGTTGAAAATCATTGGCCTATGCATTTTCAAAATAACTGCATTTCAAATATATTTTACTTTCTGTAATACATTATGATAATACAGTAGAATTCCAGAAATCCACAGAGCTTGGCCCAGAGGTTAACATTTTGCGGATTTCAGGACAGAAAAGATAAAACATAATATTCAGACTAAAAGTGCAAAATGAATAAGGCGAATTAGATACATTTAATTAAATTATTATATACATAATTGCAATAATTTATTATATGCATTAAATTATTATTACATATATAAATTGATTATATTATTCATTGTATTATATATATATACACAGCATCGAGGTTTGCCGATTTCGCCTCATGCAAAGATTTCTAGTTTCGGATTCCGGTGTTAGAATCACTGTTGCTATAAAATTTCAACAGCTTTTCTTTATTTTTCTGTATATCATAACAATCGTGTCGCAATTCCATATCATTCTGCTATAAATCGAGGAGTAGCACCTGCTTCCATCTTCTGCAGATTTTGCACGTTTTGCGTTACCATCAATGCAACGTGCTTACATTTTTTAACGTTACAAGCAGTAAAATCACGAGTGCGTTTCTTATCTGTCACTGTATAAAAAGGGCTGAAATTAAAAATATTCTTAATTTATCCATAAAATATCCAGATAAAAAATCGGCAGCACTAAACAATCTCGTGAAATAAAATAACAAAGCTCAGAAAATACAACGTGAATCGTGAACTTGAACAAAGATTTGAGTGAATTGTCTGCTTTTTTTTCCTCAATGAAGATTAGAGGGAAAAAAACTTATTTATTTTATCATATTTTTTTAAACTTTTCATATCAATAATTTGGTATTTCCGTTTTGACTCATTATTATTCGGTAATTATGACGTCATCATTCGGTAAGTATTTTTTTCTTTGATATTTCGTACTCAATGTTGCGGTTTCCGAAACCTATAAACTGAATGTTTATATTCTAAGAGACAACGCGGATTTCAGGTCGGCCGATTTTCGGTATTTGACTGTAATACAAATGAAATAAAATGCTCTAAATTCAACAAGACTGAAAATCAGCAATATTATAAGTATATTTATAAGTGTATTATATATTTTAATATATTTAAGCAATGTTATAAGTATATTATATATTTTAATATATTTAAGCAATATTATAAGTATATTATATTTTAAATGAAATGTAAAACAATTATAATATTCCTCCTCGTCATATAATGTTACCAGAAAGTGAAACCCATATACAGATGCTAGGCTGTATTGTTGCGTGCGTACGGGTTCGTTATGAAATGAATGCACAAGTCCGATGAAAAATGAACAAAATTTATTATTATCACAACAAAATGCTTAAATTTTCTCAAATTATCATGCAGTATTACAATATCTCACAGTAGTTATCTTTTAACTACTCAAATGTCCAATAGAACGTAATTCAAAACAGCTAAAGAACGCTAATCCGCGAATTCGCTACAATCAACAACAGCAGTTTTCTAAACAACAACAAAACTAAGCAACTCCAACAAACTGAGATGTTTTCCTCCTTTTATAAGATTTTAAAATCACGCGCTAGAATTTTCCAGTACTTTCTCGAAATCAAAAAGAGATATTTATTTATTTAATGCACGCGCTCTTGTATTTTTAATTTTTCCGGCTTAGCTTTCTTTTAATATTCGTCACGCGCTGCACTGCGCGAGAAATAAAACCATTTAATTTATAATTGAACTAACATTAGCTTTTTAAATACCAAATTCGTAACACTGCCCCCTTCCCAAGGACTGCACGTCCCGGGCAGTACAATCCCTGGACAGGAAGCTAAACTTACAACTGTGGCATAAATGCAACTGAGGCATAAACATTACATTACAATAATCAAACAACATGAACAATAAATGCAATAACTAAAACTTAAACAAAATCAAATACAAACTACAAATACAAAACAAATCAAACACATTTAAAACACAAAAGGACCATGGTCTTGATACTATTTACAATTATTTACATTACGTACTATGGCCATAGTAATGAGCTAACCTGTCGTAAGAGTTCGAAGACTCACGGATCCGAACCACGACGTCATTCGTGTTCAGGCACTGTATATGGACCATCCGAAGGTGACTGTAATTTAGGACTCAGTCCTTTTCGTTGAATCGGGTTCCACAACCACACCTTGTCTCCTTGTTGGAATCTATGTCTAGTAGCTCTTGTGTCGCATCTGGTCTTCATTTTCTCCGTCGCCAAGTTGACTCGCTTTCGTGCGCAGAACGGTGCATCACCTCAAACCGGGCCTGGACATCTTGGATGTGTTCCTCAGGCGATGAAGGCGCATCCGTAGGGCGATCAAACAGGCGGTCACAAGGCAGACGAAGGTCTCGACCGAAGAGCTTCTGAGATGGAGAATAGCTGGTAGTCTTGTGTTTCTTTTCGACCCCGGTATGATTTCGGCAGCTTCCCGAGCTGGGTCTTTCGGACAAGGCGTCGGCATTTCCAGGTGAGGATCCCTTTGAGGATGGATAGTCATGTCATCAGATGCTGAAAGCAGTTTGTTGTTTTTGAAAGTCTAAGGAAAAATTGTATTTCCTTAAAAAGTCCAATCCGAGTATGCATGGATCTGTAATATCCGCCACATATGCCGTGTGATGGTAGGCGGCACTTCCAAACGTGATGTTTACGTTTAACTTCCCAGTTATGTCGATCTTGTCACCAGACGCAGTCTGAAGGGTAACACAGGATGGCGTCCAAATAAGTTTATCTTTAAACTGTTCAGCTAAATCTTTCCTAATGATGGTAACATTAGCTCCTGTGTCAATGATCATATTGCAAGGAACTCCATCGATATTCACATTAATGGACAGCCACTCACTGTATAAATTTTAAGCGCTTTAAAACAAGGTTTCTCATTCTCTGGTACCCTCCGTTCCTCGATATGGTCATTCATTTGTTTACTGCGTTGTTGCTGGGAAATGGTCTTATTTTCCGTACCTCGGGGTGTTCTGCAGTTTCTTCGTATGTGGCCTTCAACTCCGCAGTTCCAGCACTTTAGAATTAGTTTTCTTTCACTTCTGTTCCGTCTCAAGCCACTGACTTGTCTGGTAAAATCATCTGCTTTATATTCCGTACCCTGGGTTGTTCTGCAATTCCGTCTTAGGTGACCTTCACTACCACATTTCCAACACCTTAGATCCACTTTGCTCTCGCTCCTACTCCGTATCAAAGCGTCGACTTGTCTGGATAAATCATCTAAACGAGCCATCAATTGATCCACTGGCTCGTGGACTCGCACAGCTCTGACTGGGTAGCGATCTCTACGAGTTGCTTGCTGGGCTGCCTCGAATTTCATGGCGTACAACAGAGCGCTTTTTATGTCCTTTACATCCGCCATTCGAAGAGCTTTCTGTATTTCAGGATCCCGGATGCCATCGATGAAATATTGCAGCGACAGGATTTCCCTTGTTTCTGTCGGGCACTCCGAAAAGGCGTGATGTGACAGCCTTTCAACATCCGTGGCGAGCTCCTGAAGTGTTTCGGTGGGCTTCTGTTGAAGGGATTTTAATTGGAGCCTGCTGTAGTCTTTTAAACATTTCTCGCCAAAGCGCAGCTCCAAGGCGCCGGATAGAGCTTCGAAATCTAAGCCTTTGTTTTCGGGAAGCGTCTGCAGGATATCCGCTGCGTCTGCTCTCAGAGAAGCGGCGAGATGACAGGCCTTAGCTTGGGAATCCCATCCATTCGCATCCGCCACGATAGAAAATTGTGTCTTATACACCTGCCAGGAGGTCTTCCCATCATATGTGGATAGCTTCAGAGATGGACGAGCAGGCATCGGTAAGAATTTAAAAATCATCACTCTTGCTCCCTGCCGTCGCTACGAATTTCTTTAAAGTATCCATTTCTTTGGCAACTGCAGAAACTCTATCATCAATTTGTTGTTCGATTTGGTGTTGGACGGCACAAACTTCCTTCATTCGTTCCTCCACAGCAGAAACTCTCCCTTCTATATGTTCTTTTACAGAAGAAACTCTTTCTTCTATTTCTTTTTCACCGAAGAAAACTCTTTCTTCAATTTGTCCAACTTTATTTTCAACCTGCGTCTATTCTGCCTTCCATAGCCT